TTATTCATTTTTAGTGCTGACTAAAACACTAACTCAATGAAATGTCTCTATTTATCATTTTTGGTGTACATATTTAGGTCATATTATGGAATTAACACTCATGTTAGAACAAGAACACCAAAGACCACACTCAATTATTCACTTTCAATATGGGGCAGATTCAAATAGGAAAGTTTTTCCCCCCTCAAACAATTCACAACATTTTGACATTTCCGTCTTTTTAATTATTTATTTTTTTATCTTTTATGGAAATAGTGCACATCTGACAAATAAAGGTGTGTGAAATGCTCAGTCACAGGTCAGCATCTTGCACCCTGCGTATTATCCATATAAACCATTGTTCAGATGGGTATACTGATACATACAATGAAGCACTTATAATAAACTTTAGACTGATCAGCCAAAGTGTATTCTGACTCTTGTTGTCTGTTATCCATGAGAAGCTTAAAAAAACATTTCTGATTTTCTTTTCTGCCATTGTGAACCACAGCATTATTATTGTAGCAAATGACGTAAGCTATACCTGCACTGAGGGAAAAACGGTTTAGGATTTAACGTTACTTGAAAACAATTTTCACCAAACACAATTGCAATTAAGGCTATTTTTTTCAAAGAATAATTAGGTTAGAAACGGCAAGTAACACATTATTAATTAAACGTAACATTTTGAAAGACTAAAATAGAAGACCTATCTTGTAAAACCTATCTATTTACAACTTTTAAAAAATACTGACAATAAAAGCGTCAGTTTAAACCCGCGCTCTAGCACTGCCTTCGCCAAATGAAGGGTTTATATTGTTTTCAGCTGATAACTTAATATAAGGTGTTTATATCGTAATTTAGTAGAAATCTCTCAAAAACAGTTTTTATATGTCAATAGCCATCTTCCCCTCCACAGGAGACCGTAACGGCAGTCTCAAATACTGCTGTAGCTAACTGTAAATGTCTAATTTAATTAGCTAGTCATCGAGATGTTATAACTGATTAATAAAACTTGAGTGAACAGCGCTTCTCCTTTATATCACTGCCTCCTTGTAAATAGAACACAACTTGGTTTGTTTAAAGGGATAGTTCAGCCAAAAATGAAAATGTAGGCTATAGTCATCATTTCACCCTCAAATTGTTCCAAACCTGTATGAGTTTCTTTCTTCTGTTGAACACAAAAGAAGATATTTTAAAGAATGTTGGTGAAGTTGACGGCACCCATTGACTTCCATAGCAAAAAAAAACAACAACAACAACAAAAAAAAAAACAACAACAAAAAAACTTCTATAGCTGGGAAAAAATACTATGGAAGTCAATGGCTACAATCAACTGTCCGGTTACCAGCATTCTTTTGTGTTCAACAGAAGAAAGAAACTCATACAGGTTTGGAACAACCTGAGGGTGAGTAAATTACGACAACATTTTCTTTTTTGGGGTGAAATATGCCTTACAAAGCGGTTCCCGTGAAACTGAAAGCCTTGCCCTCTAGAAATCATCATCGTCCTCATCATCAAAATGTTATGTTATAGCCGTAAGTTAGTGGTTCCAAAAAAAAAAAAAAAAAAAAAAAAAACAGCAAAAATGAATGGACTCAGTCACAAGTAATGAAACATTGAAAGTCTTTATTGTACTCTAGAAATACTACTACTAGTACTACTAGTAATAATAATAAACCGTCTTTAAACGTCAGTTAAAGTAAGGCTGGAATGTTATGTTCTTTAAGTTGTCTCTATTCACTGTAAACTATGTGGAGTATTTTAACTGTTGTTGGATGACTAAACTTTCTTTTTAAACGGCCTAACTGTAAATAAATCTTTATTTTGCTGTTAAGAAAAGTCAAAATAATCCTAAAACAGCCGATATTTAAATGTAATGGGTTGTTTTCACAATGAGCCACCTGTATTTGTGTCCTGCCCCTTTAAATTTTGCCGACCAATCGGGAAGCTCGGCTGTCTTATAGCACATCCTTTTCCGTCTCAAGCAAAACACTAAACACACAGGCGCTGTATGCTCATCTCCAGGACAACAAAACACCCAGAGAGAGAGAGAAAAAAAACAAAACAATTGCGCAGGTATTCATATTTTAAATAAACAATTATAGTTACCTGATTATTGTGACGATGTGTCTTCATCGTCCGTTTTCCTCCATTCTTTACTGTCGTCCATCCAGTTTCTGGTTTAGCTCTGCACAATTTCCAGGCCTGTTCTAACCACACTAGTTTCCTCGTGTCAACTTAAAACGTTTGTGCTTTCAGAAAATATAGACCAGCATATACATTTAACTATCATGACATTATGTGCCTTATAAATGTTTTAACTAAACACGTGCGTTTGGAATAATAATAATACAGGTAGACACAAATTATATGACTCCCTGCTGACAAATCCAGCATAAACATACCTTATGCTGGTGACCAGTAATGCTGGATTATTTAGCAGGGTTATAAGATTTAAATCTATTATGTCTACTAAATTGTAAATTTTTCTAACAGCATACCATGGCTCAGGACGGGGTGATACTACAATTCAACTTTCCCACGTTTGGGGACTCCATGCTTCAAAAGATGGATGCTCTTCGTCGAGACAGACGTTTCTGTGATGTAGTGATCCGCATCAATGAATTGGAAGTGCCTGGACACAAAGTGATATTTGCTGCTGGCTCCCCTTTCCTTAGAGACCAGTTTGTCCTTCAGGACTCGCATGAAGTACAAATATCTACACAGCAGGATGCAGAGGTTGGACAGAGGCTTCTTTTGTCTTGTTACACTGGGACCCTTGAGTTCCCGGAGCTGGAATTAGTACACTACTTAACCGTTGCTAGTTTCCTACAGATGGGTCATATTGTAGAACAGTGCACCGAAGCTCTAAATAAATTCATAAAACCACATGAGGTTAAAGACGAGCGTGCATCATCTCGACAGCCCTCGGACTATAACGCACAGCGTGGCCCACCAGTTGTGGAGACAGTATGTGATGAAGAGGATGAGGTAAACAATGATGGAGAAGACAACTTCATTGAAGAAGATGATGATGAGGATGATGATGATGATGTGATCATACAGCCCAAGTCTCCGCCTGTGTTTAGAAACTCTCAGAGCAACAATAGAGATGAGGACAGTCCCATTAGCATTGTTAAGGTGGAATCAATAGATGAGCGGATGTCTGATAACTTCCAGAATCGCTCAAGTCGCTCTCCGAAATTGCGCTCACCTGAGCCACAACACTCCCTGATAAACTCCACAGTGGAAACCCGGCCTGCCGAGCTCACTGTTAACCCTGCAGCTGAATATTCAATGTCCCCACCTGGAACCAGTGGCTCCGGGAAGGGGAATCTTTGGGGATGCTCCAGGAATTCCGATAAAGGAATGCAGTGGTACCACCAGTGCCCGAAATGTGCTCGCGTGTTCCGTCAACTGGAGAACTACGCCAACCATCTGAAGATGCACAAGCTGTTTATGTGCCTCTTGTGTGGAAAGACATTTACCCAGAAAGGAAACCTGCACCGGCACATGCGTGTCCATGCCGGCATCAAACCCTTCCAATGTAAGATATGTGGAAAGACTTTTACCCAGAAGTGCTCGCTGCTAGACCACCTGAACCTTCACAGTGGGGACAAACCACACCGTTGTAATTACTGTGACATGGTGTTTGCACATAAACCAGTTCTACGTAAACACCTGAAGCAGATCCATGGAAAAAACAGTTTTGACAATGCCAACGAAGGCAGTTTGCTTGAAGGATTATAAATTCATATTAATATAAGTTACACAGACATAACTTTGTCTTGCAGACACAATTCTGTAAATCAGTGGATCTCAAGCAGAGGGCCGGGGTGTACTAGGGAGCTCGCCTCGGCAAACTTCCAAGAGGGCCCCAGTAAGTCTTAAATGCCTGGTTTCGGAGGCAAGGCTTAAGCCTAGTCCCAGACTAAAATGTATGTTTGAGCTGTTTTAACTGAAAGCAACGTTGCACTGACATATCTTAAAATATGTCAGTGCCATTGTTTTGTCTCAAGATGCACACCAGTAATGTTTTTTTCTAAGGCACGTTAGGTATAAAAGCTACTTAAATGTTTTAATTTAACTAAGCCTACACCTGGTTTAATCTAAGCCAAAATGATTTAAATGTAATTATATTAACATAATCTTAATTGAAATCCTTCAAAACACACAAAAATATAACGATTTACAACATTACATTGACATTATATTTTTTAATTTATTTGTTTTTATTACAACAGTTGTACCAGAGGTACATAACAGCCTATTTAAGATGGCCTTCAAATATTGTCTTGGACAGGGGTGTCCAAATCTGCTCCTGGAGGACTCCAACCCCAACTGAACACACACGAAAGAGCCAATCAAGGTCTTAGGGATAGGCCTACTAGAAACTTCCGAGCAGTTGGAGCTAAACTCTGCAGGACATTGTCCCTCCAGGAGCAAGATTGGACACCGCTGGTCTTGGACAAAGGGCCTTTGAGTAAAAAAACAAAAAAACAATACGGTTGAGAACCACTACTGTAAGTCATTAACAGTACAGTAAATTACAACAATTAAATTACGTGTCTGCTGGTTGGTAGATACATGTGCAGTCAAAATCAGGTTTAATGTCTTTTTTTGCAAACTGCAGGTCAAGGGAGATTAAATGTATTAAACTGATTTTGAATGCTGCTGTGGCATCATTTGACTGTCATATCTTTTGTAAAGATTAAAATATATTGTTTCAGTATATCTGATCTGACTGCATTTCAGTTTTGAACGCTAACGTATTACTTCCTCATTTGCAGACAGCTGTATTCCAACACTATGTGCAACTCTTGGTCTATAATGAATGTTTTCATACTTCCATCTGTGTAAACATGCCAGAATTTGGAGAGAATCACTGTGACTCATTAATAAATAACTGCAGATACTGCATGAAATGTGCACTTGCTTTTGTTAATGTTTGTTATGCGTTTTATATATAAATACATGTGGACAGTTTGCATATTACATTAAGGATTACAACATTCAAATCAGGTCCAATTATGTTTATTTCTTTACTTTTATGGCAGCTCTATCATGGTGGCAGAGTGTTATCGTGGACACATTGCATGTCGACCTCCGTCCACTGGAAGATTGACACCTGTTATAAATGTTGCAGCATCAGATGCCAGGAAGGCGATAGCATGAGCTACTTCCTCTACTTCCCCTGGTCTGCCGAGAGCATGGGTCACCTTGGTTTTCTCAAGGAACTGCAGCAAAGCAAAAAACACATGACGTGTGATTAATTGGAAACGTATATTACAGTGAAATAAACACTCTCGCATTAGATAAAGCATTTGACCTGAGCATACTGGTCCTCATCTAGTCCTGCACGCTTGTGAACTTCTGTTATAATTACTCCTGGGCTGTAAAGACAAAGCATTTCAAGTCATTTTGTTTTCAATGTAGCAATTGTATGGTACATAAAAAATAACAGCAGAAAAAAACTTACCATACTGAGTTGACTCGTACTTGCTTTGATGCTAACTCTACAATTAACATAAGGTGAGAAAACACTTATTTGTACAGTAGTAATGCCCTTTGGATTAATTAAAAACTAGTAGTAGGAGAGACCAGGGCTAGTTGTCACACTGTTTACTCCAGTATATTTCTCAGAGCAGGTTTATTTATAAAGTCAATTTCTGCAAACGCACATAAAATTGGCTACAAAAATATATTTATCCATTAAACCATTAAAGGGTTAGTTCGCTCAAAAATGAAACAATTGTCATCAATTACTCACCCTCCCTTTCGTTCATCTTGGAAACACAAATAATATTTTAAATTAAACCTGAGTAAATATTTTAAATTAAACCTGAATTAAATATTTCTATACCTCCATTGACAGTTCAAGCAACTATCATTTTGTCACTTAAAAAAGTTCATAAAGAGATAAAACTAATCCATTTGAATTGAGTGGTTTAGTCCAAATTTTCTGAAGAGACTTAATCGCTTTATGAACAGATTGAATTTATGCTTTTGTTCACATAAAACATTGACAGGCGAACATAAACAGAAGGCCAAACGAGCTGCGTAACACATGAGAATGAACCTCATTGGTTCGTCGCTCAGATTTTATTCAAAATATCTTCATTGTGTTCTGAAGATGAACAAAAGTTTTTACCACATGGAACAACATGAGGGTGAGTAATTAATGACAGAATTTTCATTTTAGGGTGAACTAACCCTTTAATTCTCCAATAGTAGGTCATGTTGTCACAACGGGATATGCTATTAAACAGCCTATTAGAGTTTCTTTTTTCAGCTAAATTAAAAGTACACAAACAATAATGAAACCAAGCAATTCAAAACAAATTAAACAGCAAAAATGTATAAGGTAATATGCAACAATACCAAACCATTGTTTTGGTCAACAAATATTGTAAATAATATATGTATAGGAACAAGCCTATTAACTCGAAACTGTAGTTGCTGAGAAATAGACCTTCCCCATGTGGCAAATAGGCCCTGTTTTCTGTAAATAATATGAATGATTCTTGAGATGTCACCTCACCAAGAGCAACACAGCGTGTGAATTGGTCGATGGCTGATTTGGACATACAGTAGGCAAGTACACCAGGAAACTATAACAGACAGAAAAATGTGTAAGCATATCAACCAGAGCCTGCTCATAGTTTTATTCATGTAGGGCCCATATGAATAAAACAATGAGCAAATATTTTGTATTTCTATGGTTTATGGCTCATTTGATACGGATGTATAAACTGATCAAACTCACCGATCGCTGCCCATTCACACTGGACACATTCACAATTGAGCCTTTAGTTTCGATAAGATGTGGCACGCAGAGATGAGTGAGATGATATACTGATCTGAAAGAAAATAAAATGTTTGACTTTGTGTCTTCTTGTCCTTATAAAGTCAAAGATCCACATCTTTAGATTATTTTATCGCAGGGGTTAAATAAATCTATAAATCTTTACATAAATCTATTGCAGAGGCTGGGGGTCCATGGAAAGGTTTAGATATATATATAATATATATATATATATATATATATATATTTTTTTTTTTAATTAAACACATAAAAAATATTAAATCAATAAATGAGTAAAATAAAAATAATTAAAACATTACAAACATAACAAAAATTAAGATAAATAAATAATAAATATATTATAATATTATATATTATTACGTATTAAAATACTACGAGTAAAACATGTCAAAATGTAACTTAACATACACTAAATATTTTCCATTATTATAAAACATATTTATAATATTTTACAGTATAAATTGGGTCTTTATACAGGGAACTATATATATGCCTTTTAAATTTTACTTTGGAGCTCCCTTACATGAGGATGGCCATATTTTAGGGTCTGTGGCCTCTAAATGATTGAAAACCCCAGATCTACTAAATCCCATGCAGGTAAACACTCACACAGATGACAGATGTAATTATTTTCATTTTTTTTACCTGACATTAACAGACATGACCTTGTCATACTGGGCCATATCTGTTGTCTCTATACTGCCCATGGCGAGTATTCCTGCACTGTTGATCAGGACATCCAGCTTCCCAAAGTGAGCAATGACCTCTTCAACTGTCCTCTTCACAGTATCCTCATCTGTCAAGTCTCCTGGAACTAATAAGGGCTAAATACATCAGACAGGGGACATAGATGAGTATTTATTTGTAAATAATAATAGCATATTAAAAATTATTTCGGTTGCATTTGACATCTTTAACAGTGTGCTTTACTTTAACTGCTCCACAAGCTTCGCACTCTTTTGCGACTTTAGTGAGATTTTCTACATCGCGTCCATTCAGCGCCAGCCGGGCACCCAGTTTGGCAAACAGTACGGCTGTGCCAGCTCCTATTCCTGAACTTGCGCCGGTTATCAGCGTGACTTTGTCGTTTAAAGAGCAAACCTAAAACGCCAAATCAAGTTGACAGTTTAGTGTGTAACGTAGTACAATTCAGAAGCAACTAGATGTCAACGACAGTTTTTGAATTTCAATTAATAATGTTGAAGTTCTGTGAGTGTTTGTAAACTACACTCGACCTACTTTAAATGCACCTGGAGTTGCCATTTAGATTCGAATGATTTTTAACAGCTCCTCTCTCTGACTGGATCAACTTTTATTTCTCCTCTCGCTCACGTGCTCTTATAGTGAACTAGGCCCTGTCCCAAATGGAACCCTAAGCACTCGCGGTCTTCCTCTGAGTCCGCACTTTCGCGACGTAACGCCGCTTTGAATGTCGGGAAGAAGTCTGCTGTGGAGTCCTCATCAGCGTGGGCTCGGCAAAAGTGCGCATCAAGGGCGCAAATCGACCGCAGAGGGGGCGCTCGCGAGCACCCTTCTGAGATCTAAAAATGACAAATGGGACACACTGCGGTCTCACGGACTTAACGGACACGCGGCAGCCATTGCAAGTCCACAAGACCGAAAGTGCACATGAAGTGTGCCATTTGGGACAGGGCCCTAGTTCAAAGTCTCTGACTAGTTACGTCACCGCGTACCTACCAAGAGCATTTTAAGAGTTCACAGTACATTACTCTATTTTCCGATGAAGTCAATCAAATATTGATTACATTTTTCAGTTTTATTGTGACAGTAATTTTAATATTTCTAACTGATGCGAATTAACTTAAATTATTTTGATGTACTAGCGTGTTTATGTATCATTTCCGGGTTACTAGCTTCATAACGATTTCAAAATTGAAGTCTTTTTTGCCTTTCAAAATCATAGTTCTTACAAACTGCAAAAAACATTCAAAACAAGGAAAAAAACTATCCATTTCGTGAAATTTTTATTTGTCAAAGTACAATATTGCTCAACTGATTTTTTTCGGTCTCATAATTTCACAACATTAAACGGCTACATTTAAAAACACAATGTAAAAGTTTATTGGCGCAACATTGGTGAGTCAGTGTGTACATATTTTTGAAACAGCATGAAAGCTAAAAAAAAATTTCTATTTACAATACAAGGGATTATGCATGTTTCGCATCAATCAACCAGCAAATGGGTTGGCATGGACAGTAACATCCTTAATACGGACATCGTTGAGGGGACGAAAAGTCTTCTCATTCACAGGGAGTTTCTCTAGTTCATCCAGAGTTTCCAGTCCATCTATAATTCTGTAACAAAGGATGAGGTTTGTGTCACAATTTATTACCATTAATACAATACATATAACAGAATTAAATATACCAAAAAATATTAGCTACTTTATTCATTGAAATGATCAATCACATAAAATAATAACTGAAAATAAAACACACTAGCAAACATACTTTCCAAAAACAGTGTACTTCATGTCCAGGTGAGGCTGTTTTGCATATGTGAAGAAGAACTGTGATGCATTTGTGTTTGGTCCATTATTTGCCATGGCCACGACACCCCGGACATTGTGCTACAGAAGACAGACATTAAAGGGAGGATTGAGTTTGATAAGACTAGACAGATGTCGAAATTGAGGTTTAAGTCATCTAGTGCAGACATAATTAACTTGCTTGCTGGATACTGGAAATATTACTTTTACCTTTAGCACAGACTAGATTGGTTGAGAGGTTAACAACATAGACTAATGTGATTTCTTCTGGCAACGTACAAGTCACAATATTCCTAATTTAAATAATTCCCGCCCAAGGAATATGCCAAAAATGGGACGAGGCCTAGATGAGTTGTTGAAACTTGCGGTTACGTTAAGAGCCATGACATTTCTGAAACACGCTCAAAGCGGTTGACCAATCACAACACACTGGTCCAGGAAAACAATCTGAGAACATTGCGTTTTTCGGAAGGAGGGGCTTCATAGAGACCAGAACTAAACAGGGCTGTGTTTCCCAAAAGCATTGTACCTAAGTTGTTCACAGAGACCATTGTTGGCTATTGTTCGACGATCAACTTAGGCTTACGATGCTTTTGGGAAATGCAGCCCTGAAGGTGATGATACACAGGGCAACTTTTTGAGCAATGTTGCAGGCAACGGGCAACCAGATGAGACACAGGGGCCACGACCAATCAAAATTATCCATATAGAAATTTCCCAGGAACATTTCTCAAAAAGTTGCCCTGTGTATCATCACCTTGAGAGTTACTGGCAGGCTGGGAAGAGAGGTGCTGCAACAATGTAAAATATGTGAAAATAATGTGTTTTTTGAACATTCAAGCATGAAAACCTATTCTAGTAGACCCCAAAAACAAAACCAAGACTTTGAAAAAGGTCATAATAGGTCCCCTTTAAATCACCAAATCAAGTCATAAGGTTGACCAAGTATTTTCACACTTGCAACATCAGACCTTAAAATTCAAACTCATGCCTGACTTCAGTACAGTTCTTTTTTTTTTTTTTTTGTATAATATATTTAAGTATAATAATGCACAACAATACATACTTTCAGATGTTCACTGAATTCATCTTCAAACTTTCTTCCCCAAATACTGGTCCCTCCTTTGCCTGTGCCTGCAGGAAAAACATAATTTTCATAAATTAATCAACCAAATACTAGGCTGGATGTGTTTAAAAAAAAAAAAAAAGATAATATTTAAATATAATAATTATAATTATATATATATATATAAAAGATAAAATATTAAGTATTCACGCATTTTACAACTGTATGAGCTTAAAAAAACGGCAGCTTGACTTGGGTTTTAAGAAGGAAAAGAAATCTCAGACCAGTTACCTGTTGGGTCTCCAGTCTGGACCATAAAGCCCTTTATGTTTCGATGAAAAATACATCCACTGTAAAACCCACCAGCGCACAGTGCAATAAAATTCTAGGAGAAAATTGAATTAGAAATGAACAAACAGATATCGTTTCTTCAAGAAACAACGTTTAGGAAACAAGGAAAAATAGTCTTACCTCGGAGCTTTTTGGGCACTTCTCACAGAACACCTCTATTTTAATATCACCAAGGTCTGTATGCAGAGTGACAGCCTGCGAGATGATGAAAGGGTCATCTTATTAATATAGTATATTCTATATAATAATAAGCTTAAATATAAAGTGTTACATTTTCCCCCGTGATTTTCAACATTCACATATATGTAAAGAGCAATCTTACCATCTTTTAAAGCACAAGGTAAAGTTTACTGCTTCATGTGGGCAAGCAAACTCGCTTTCTCGGTGTTTCACTGTTAAACTTCGATGGCACTGAATGACTCTTCTTCTTCTTTCTTTCTTTTAATGGCGGTTGGCAAACACCTTTTAAGTGTGCATTACCGCCACCTTCTGATATGGAGTGTGGATCACAATAGCCTTTTCTCACAAATAAATACATACATCCATAACAAAACCAATATATAACTTCATAAATATCTAATACCTTTATTAATATTCATTCCTTATCATTATTATTAAATACAACTTTCTAAGACATCTAAACTCATATCCTTCCACTAAGCCCTGTTTTACTCAAAAACACAAATATCGTACATGCCCTGAATTCATTTGTAATATTTCCTTCATTTCAAATTTATTTATTTATTTTCTAAACCAGTCTTTCAGCCCCATCCTTTCCTCCTTATACCTATGACAATTAATAATTACATGTTCTACTGTTTCGTTAATTTTACTGACCTCACAAAACCCAGTTTCATGTTTCACTATTATTTTAAGTGTACTATTTAATCCAGTATGCCCAAATCTCATTCTCGAAATAACGTCCTCTTCCCTTTTATTCCTATTATTCTTTCTCATTCCTCCTACCCTCTTCTGGATACTATAGTACATTCTCGCTTTTGTTTCTATATTCCACTCCTCCTGCCACTTCTTTCTCATTTCTGCTTTAATTATGCTTTTAACTTCCGCCTTACTATAATTTATTACCATATCTCTGTTTTTTTTGGTTGCACTTTTGGCATATTTGTCTGCCAATTAATTTCCTTCTACTCCTATATGTGCTGGAATCCAGATTAATTTTACTACTACTCCTACTCTATTAATTAAACAGCTTGTGCTATTTCCAACAAAATATCATGTCTTGCTTCCGATTGCATATTCTTAATACTGGTTAACGCGCTACTTGAATCTGACCCTATTAACACTTCCCTTGACCTACTATTTTCAACCCCACTCAAGGGCTAATAGAATGGCCAGCATTTCTCCTGTATACACTGACATTTTATCATTTACTCTCTTATTTAACATAACATTCACTTCTGGTATAATGAAAGCAGCACCTACTCTATTATCTTCTGTTTTTGATACATCTGTATATATCTTAATAAACATCGAATAATTCTCCTCTATGTATGAATGACTCATTGGTTCCCCTTTATCACCCGGTTCCAACAGCAAGCGCACGCATGCGCGCACACACGCACAAACTTAAAACTACCAGTCTATCCAAAAATAAGTCATTTTTGAAAACGACAATGCTAATTCCTAGTAGCTATACAAGAGCAGATAAACCTGACAAAAAGTATTAATTATAAAATAATCAGGACAAATATTAAAAATGTTTTTAGTGATTTTTATTGACACACTAAGTAAACAGTGTTTATTCACACTGTATGGCTTCAAACATTTTGTGGCATTTACTTTTTATTTTACATCTTAGTTTGCAAAAAATATAAACAAAATAAAAATAGTGGGTTTATAGAATACACAAATTAATGAAAGCATCAACCATAAATATATCAAATGGTTACAAATATGTTAAAACTGGAAACAGCACACAAAAACTCAAATAAAGACATTAAAAAAAAAGTGTTGATCTTCAAATGTACAAAGTTGAACAGCACTTACCTGAGTAACAAGTTGTGAAATTCTATTAGCTTAGTTTCCAATGTGTACAATATAGTATATGGAAGAAAAACAAATTCTACAATGTTTCATATTTGAGGTAATATGAGAAAACATGCAACAAGCCATGATCAATAACCTATCAACAGTAACAGTTTGTTAACAAACTGAATATGGGCATTAAAATAAGACAAAACAGCTATGTTGATCATACTAGAGCAAATAAGTGACATCTGCACCACACACTCAAAGTTATACACAACATTTCACTCAATACTTCTGATTGTCTTCTTAACGGTGCGATGTCACACACTGTCATGAGAATAACATGTCACAAGTAGAACGATAGAGAACATTTAGTGTAAAGTTGAGGGAACTAGTCTATTTTAATTTGAGTATTTATATGTCTGTTAACTGAATACAATGTATAAACAACCTTTACAAAGCTTATTAGAAATGATTAATTGACAAATCTTAAAACGTTTTAAAGTGAGCAGACCGATGAAAATAAGGTGCTGTATTTGTAATGTACAATGTAATCAAGGCTTTTTCTAACTTATTAGAAAAGTAATAATAACATGCATATGCTTTATACAAAAGAAATACATGTAGATAGAGAGTGATGCAGACATTAACACTATCTCTTACTGTACATTTTATAAAAGTTCTTAGTTTTTGCATCAGTTCATAAATACTGCAAACATCACTTATGTAATCATAAGTACTCCGTAACTCCGCTAACAAATTAAACCAATAAAGACAATGATTTAACGAATACTGTAGACAATAGCAACTTACTATTGGGGGGGGGGGGGGGGGGGGGGGGGGGGGTATTGAATATCGAAATATGCATGTTTCTAATGACAAGAGATGACATCAATATGTCAAAAAGACTGTACAGCTTATGTGCTGGGTAATGTATATGGCATGCATAAACAAACAAACAAAAAAGTTAATTGGTGTCTTATGTTTTTAGAATATATTAACCAGTTATTTACATTGATATGACCAACAATTTCAAGTAAACAAAATGTATTATAGAAGTAAACCCTAATCGGGTTGAATTAGGAGTCTTCAACGGTACACATGTATTTAAGAAAAGGTAAAAGTAGAGTGATTTCACAGTAACACTTACACAGTAACACTGGTATAAAATACAGTAGAAATGTTTATAATAAAATACTATAAATGGATAGTGTTTGTGTATGTTAAGGCAAAAATTAACCGCACCATAATCCTGATGTAATATTTGGTCTGCTCACTCCTCTGTGTCAAACAGCAGAAATGTCTATGTTACAATAAAAAAACGACATGCCATATTGTGAAACACTTACCTTTTTTTGCTTTGTTTTCCAGGAAAAATTCTGATGAACCCTGTAAAATGTGACAAACATGTATAAATGTCATTTTCTATTGCTCGGTTTGAATTCTTCTCCTCACACCATTTAAAAACTTCACGCAGGTAAGTGCTCTCAGGTTTATGCATCTGCTTCAAGAAGCCTCTTTTTCAGTTCTCCACAGCTGCTCTTTGACCTCGGAAGGTAAAGTGTTGAAAATATTGTCCTCCACAATAAGACCACTCTTCTTCAGCAATCTACACTCCCCAAGTTCTACAGGAAGGCATTCGAGCCTGTTGCCCCTCAGCTCCAGCTGTGTCAGACTGGTGAGCTCCCCAAACCGAGAGGGTAGAGACTGCAGGCAGTTGTTTCCGAGATTCAGTGTTCGCAATTTCTTACACTGAAACAACTCAGGGGGGAGTGCTTCAATCTACGGGGAAAATGAAAGCATAAAAGAGAACAGAGATCAGAAAACAAAGTTGACTGGAAGTACAATCACATTACAATCATTAGTGTAATTTTACAAGAATGTACTACTTGAATTTCAACAGAAGACCAGTAGCGCTTTTCCTTCATTCTTACACCAGTTATATTATTATTACAACCGCATTTCCATAAAAGTTGGGACATTTAGTAAAATGCAAAGAATCTCTGACTTGTTCATTCTGATTTGTTAAAACTGACACAAGTACAAAGAAAAGATTTCCAATGTTTTCACTGACCAACTTAATTGTAATTTGTAAATATAAAAATTGATTTTGATGGCTGCAACACTCCCAAACTATCTTTTTATGACAGAGGCAAAATAAAAGTGAAAAGACTACATCATATCCAAGTTAAATTGTTTTAAAACAGTCCACAATTAGCAGGTAAATTGGTAATAGGTGAGGGCATCATGATTGGGTATAATAGTACCATCCACCAAAGGCACAGTCTTTGCAAGCACTTTGCGCCAAATTTCATAAGAATTGTCAAACAATTCAAAAATCACAGCAAATTTAGGCTTTTCATAACCTATAATATTGTGAAAAGATTCAGGGGATCCAGAGAAATCTCAGTACATGTAGAGCAAGGCAGGAAACCTCTGCTGAATGTGCGTGACCTTCGAACCAACAAACTGTCGTGCTACTCTGTTAAATACAGCCACATGGGCTCGGGAGTACTTTGTAAAACCATTGTTACATAACACAGCCTGAAGCTGCATCAAGAAATGCAACTCGAATCTCTGTTACGCAAGGATAAAGCTATACATCAGTTCTATGCAGAGATGCCGAAGAGTTCTCTAGGCCTGAGCTCATCTCAGGTGGTCCAAAAGACAGCGGATATGTGTGCTGTGGTCAGATGACCCCATGTTTCAGCATGTTTTTGGGAAAAACAGACATCAACTTCTCAGTCCCAAAGACGAAATGGATCATCCAGTCGTTGCGACAGGTATAAAAGCAAACATCTGTCATGGTTTGGGGATGCAGTGCAAATGATTAAAAAGTTTAATTAAAAGGAAAGCTGATGTGACACAGTGGTAAACATGCCTCTGTCCCAACTTTGAGTGCATTGCAGCCATCAAAATAAAATAAATTATATTTACAAAAAGCAATTTCGTTGGTCAGTGAAACCATGTCAGAATTAACAAATGACAGATTCTTGATTTTATTGCATTTTACAAAATGTCCCAATTATTTTGGAAATGGGATTGTATCTATTGTTATTATTGAGTAATTATTATTTTAATAATAATTAAAATTGCTTTTAGGCCTGCTTTTAATAAAAATATAAATAAACAAAAAACACAACATCTGCATCAGTGGCAATTACAAAAGCTATGAAGTGCTATTTTCATTTAAAAACTGAAACAAGAAACCAAGCTAAAATAAATTTTCACGACTCCAAAACTGGCCACAAATTAATAATCATTTTAGTTTTTGATATGTGGTATTTTGTAAAACTTAATTTATACAGTCCTAAAAAAATAAATAAAAAAAACCTCTGAAAATAAATAATCTAAAAGTACT